TGTGGTTTTGATTTGCATTTCTCTGATGGCCAGTTATGATGAGCATTTTTTCATGTATCTGTTGGCTGTATGAATGTCTTCTTTTGAGAAATGTCTGTTCATATCCTTTGCCCACTTTTTGATGGGGTTGTTTGTTTTTTTCTTGTAAATTTGTTTGAGTTCTTTGTAGGTTCTGGATATTAGCCCTTTGTCAGATGAGTAGATTGCAAAAATTTTCTCCCATTCTGTAGGTTGCCTGTTCACTCTGATAGTAGTTTCTTTTGCTGTGCAGAAGCTCTTTAGTTTAATGAGATCCCATTTGTCAATTTTGGCTTTTGCTGCCGTTGCTTTTGGTGTTTTAGACATGAAGTCTTTGCCCATGCCTATGTCCTAAATGGTACTACCTAGGTTTTCCTCTAGGGTTTTTATGGTATTAGGTCTAACATTTAAGTCTCTAATCCATCTTGAATTAATTTTCGTATAAGGAGTAAGGAAAGGATCCAGTTTCAGCTTTCTACTTATGGCTAGCCAATTTTCCCAGCACCATTTATTAAATAGGGAATCCTTTCCCCATTTCTTGTTTCTCTCAGGTTTGTCAATGTTTTTTTTAGAGCAGTTTTAGAGCAAAATTGAAAGCACAGAAATTTCCCATATACCTCCTACTCCTATATATGCGCAGCCTGTCCTATTATCAACATCTGGACCAGAATGGTAGATGTGTTATAACTGATGAATCTACATCAACACATCATAATTACCCAAAGTTCATAGTTTCCATTAGGGTTCACTCTTGGTGTTGTATATTCTATGGGTTTGGACAAATGTAAAATGTCATGTATGCATTATACTATTGTTGTACAGAGTGTTTTTGATGCCTTAAAAATCCTTTATGCTCTGTCTATTCATCAGCCCCACCACCCCGATCCCCCACCACGCCTGGCAACTAGTTTTTTTTACTGTCTATAGTTTTGTCTTTTCCAGAATGTCTTACAGTTCGAATTTAACACTATGTAGCCTTTTCAGATTGGCTTCTTTCATTTAGTGATAAGCATTTAAGGTTCCTCCATGTCTTTTTATGACTTAATAGCACATTCATTTTTACTGTTAAATAATACTCTACTCTATTGATGTACCACTGTTTTCCATTTATCTACTGAAGGACATCTTAGTTGCTTTCAAGTTTTAAGAATTATAAAGCTGCTAAAACATTCATGTGCAGGTTTTTCTCTGGACTTAAGTTTTCAACTCCCTTTGGTAAGCAACAAGTAGCATGATTGCTGTATCTTATGGTAAGAGTATGTTTAGCTTTGTAAGAAACCACCAAATTGTCTTCCAAAGTGGCTGTACCATTTTTTATTCCCACCAGCATCAAATAAGAGCCCCTGTTGTTCCATGTCCTTGCCAGGATTTGATGTTGTCAGTGTTCTGACTTTTGGCCATTCTAATAGGGTGTGTGGTGTCTCATCATTGCTTTAATTTGCATTTATCTGATGACTTATGATATAGAGTATCTTTTCACATGCTTATTTGCCATCTATATTTCATCTTTGTTGAGGTGCTGTTTTCGGTCCATTTTTAATCATGTTGTTTGTTTTTTCTTCTTTTCAAGTTTGTAAGAGTTCTTTGTATATTTTGAATAACATATTTTATCAAATGAGTCTTTTGCAAATCATTCCTCACAGTCTGTGCTTGCCTTCTCATTTTATTGGGATTGTCTTTAACAGGACAATCCCAATAATGAAATTTAATGAAGTCCACGTTATCAATTATTTTTTTCATAGATCATGTATTTGGTGTCATATCTAAAAAGTCACCATTATATTCCAAGTCATCTAGATTTTTATCTGCACATAGATTTTTAATACATGAAATTACTCTTTCACTAATATCTGTTTTGTTATGACTAATGACAAAAAGTTATGAGCATATTTATCTCCATATTAGTTACATGCATTTTCACTCAATAATATACATAATTTTGTAATTGTTTTCCTTTCCCCTGTGTTATATTTGTTTTGATTATATTTACTCAAAAGCAACTTTATGTCTGTTGATTCGAATTATTTACATTTGGTTTTGGGGTGTCTTTATTTTTCATTTTATGGTAATTATCTTTCATTTTAATTTTTCCATGACAATTTGGAAGTTTTAAAATTGGTACTTTATAGAGAGTTGGAAAAGCATTTTTCAAAAGTAATCTATATGCCTGCTGATTCCTTACATCCTAACTCCAGACCTATTACATTTAGTCTCTGGAGTTGTCCAGGAATGTGTGTTTGTCTTATTTTGTTTTAAGCTTCCCAGGTGAGTTTAATATGCAACCCGAGGCCTGGTGCAGTGGCTCACGCCTGTAATCCCAGCACTTTGGGAGTCCGAGACAGGAGGATCATCTGAGGTAGGGAGTTCAAGGCCAGCCTGGCCAACATGGTGAAACCCCATCTCCACTAAAAATAAAAAATTAGCTGGGTGTGGTGGCACGTGCCTGTAATTCCAGCTACTCGGGAGGCTGAGGCACGAGAATTGCTTGAACCTGGGAGGCGGAGGCTGCGGTGAGCCGATGTTGTGCCACTGCACTCCAGCCTAGGCAGCAGAGTGAGACTTTGTCTCAAAAAAAAAAAAAAAAAAAAAAATGCAACCTGAGTAGCTTAAAGTAATTGTATAACAAAATCAGAGCTTTGACGTAAATACGAAAAATATAAGGTTTGCAGAGATGTAGGAAGTAGAATCATCTTTTTCTTGGTCTTCTTTTATTTTGTCCTTTAGCTTTGTCAAGTACAGTCCCTTACTCTAACATAAACGTTTTTCTATTGTTGAGTAAAACCATATTCTAAAGCAAAAAACCTTCTCTAAAAAGAAGCTACCTTAAAATTTAAACATTTATCATAGGATGAGCAGGCTAGATATGTCTTTTTTTTTCTTTTTTGAAAAAAATGGAAAATAATTAGAATCAGAAAACCTATGTTAAAATAACTGCACTGACATTAACATGTGTTTCATATTTGAGGAAGGGGGTTTAGAAGACCACAGGAGTTAGGGAAGGAGGGGAAAAGAAAGTAAAATCACCCAAGGAAGTTTTAAATTAACTCATCTAATCTGATTTTCCTTAAAAGAGAGAGGAAAAGTGGGTATGGGTAGGGGTGGAGAAGAATCTGCAAAGAGAAAGGAGGAAGAAAAGGGGTAAAGAGAGAGGGAAAAGAGAAGGGCAAGGGCAAAGCGAAATGGGGATTGTTTCATACTATACACGATGACACTCCAACACCAGGATTCTGCCAGTACCAACCTAGACTCTCTAAGAGCTTCAGCAGAGAGGTTGAGGAGGAAGGAAACATACAGTTCATAAAAGCCAGGGGAGGTAGTTCCGCATGGGCTCACTGGTTGAAAACCACTTGTATACGACAATTTCTCAGGCGGTATTGATAACCATAAAAAACTAGAAATTTGGCCGAGGGGTGAGACTCCCAGTGATGGGAGTCCCATCCCAAGGACTAACTGAAGACCAGGGAGGAATGTTAACAGCCACATCTGTATCTTCTATGGCAATTGCTTCCGGGAGGAGCAGGGCAGCAGGAAGGTGGGCAGGAATGCTAGGTACTTGGCTTCTGGATCCCTCCTCCCTGATTATTCAATAAGCGCTTCTTACTTGTTCAAGTATCAGTTTCTCATTTGTAAAACAGAAATGATAATATCTAAGCAGAGTTGCCTGAGGATTAGGCAAGATAAAATATTTCACATATTGTAGGGTGTCAGTAAATGATAGTCGTTTAATAGTTGAGCGTGAGAGAGAGATTAAATATCTATCTTCATCCAAAAAAGGGGGGATTGTGTTATTCATTGTTGGACCTAAATTCTCAAAGAGACTTCAAAGTAGAGTGGACTATATAAATGGTTGAGAACCATTTACCAGAATAGATGAGCAAAAACAAGTTACAGTTACAAGTTCAAGTGGAGTTGAATAATAGAACTTGGTCAAAAATGCTAATCAGTAATGGAGTTCAAACATTCAGCTTCTAAAATGCTATTTGCTAAAAAGAGAGTCTTGAACCATCTATTAAAACCTACTGCAGAAATAATTCATAACATTTCACTCCTTCTCAGGACAGTTATATGCATACAGCATGTTGACTTGTGAACTGGACAAAAAGGAGCCAACAGTAGCATATTTCATGATATTTCATAGTCGTTAGTAACCCCCAGACCATTTTACAACAGAAATAAAAAAATAAAATGAGGCTAAAAATTTTAACTTCTTCTGCTATTAAGACACTTTTTTTTTTGACTTTGCAGGAAAATCACAATTAAATGTAAAGAAACTAAAATGAACTTGTTAAATTGGATTATTTCACTTTTACATCACTGTCAAGAAGTAGCCATAATTTGTACTGAATCAGCAAAACATGATGTAAAAGTAAAAATTAGCTTTAAGTAAATTAAAATTATTATTAAGATTAAAATATCCTTTTATTTTCTACAGTCCCAAAACACAAAGTACTCATTGAATTTGTGGATAGAAATGGAAATAAAATGTTAAGCGAATAAAAATGATCTGAATGACTGAATTGCTCTCCTTTTAAAATAAGCAAAACCTTCCCCAAATAATGAAATGAAAGGTAAAAAATAAAAATAAAAATAAAAATACCCAGTTATTTTAGACACCAACTATTTCTAGGACCCAGCTCTCTGCTTGCTCTAATGTTCTTGGCTTACAAAGCGTCCCACTGTGGAAGATGGTCTAAAGTAGCTGCCACATTTTCTCTATCACTTCCCAGGGGTAAATTCTGATAATTTAGATTTCAAAGATTTACCTAGCATATTTATCTGAAGTGGCCAAAAAAATGGCTTGATTTTAGGCTGTAATTACATCAGATATGGTTTTTATAATTAAGTGATATTTACTCTTAAATTTATTCTAGTACAAAAAAATATAATATCTGGAATATAGTTTCTCCTATGACCTCAGCTTTGGGCTGACAAGAATCTCCCAGTGGACAAATCTACTATGAGCTTCTCAGTACTGACCTTACCTGATCCCTCCATGGTATCTGATCCTGTCAACCATCCCTTCTGGAATTAAATGTCTTCTTTTTCATTCATCATTACACTCCTAGGACATTTGGCTTTTCTCCCTCTCAGACTTCTGTGTGATACAATGGGTAAGTGTGCAACGCAGGAATCAGCAGCTTACTTTAATCCTTGCTCCAGAACAGACTATGTCTGTTTCATTGTGCAGATTACTTAAACTGCAGGTGCCTCAGTTATCTCATCTGCAAATAGGGATTATATTGGTATTTCTTGTTAATGAGACCTTACTATCCAAGTGGAAAGGCATACTTATTAGGTGTTTTTTTGTGTAATACCCTTTTAATTAATTATATAAATGCACTAAGCAATAAATACTTTAAACATGAAAATATTACAAAATTAGTACATCAAAATGTGTGGGTTTAATTGATAACTATAAAATCTAGGTTGAAAATAAATGGGGATTTATTAACCTTTGTGCATACTTGGCCTTTTATAATAAAATATTGAAAGTACTGATTCACGATTACATAGATTTAACAATTTTTCAGCATTAAATTATAAATTACAAAGAGATACACACACACACACACACATATATGTTGTGGCCTTGTAATATATATAGAGTACATGTGATTCTCTTAGATGTTTAAACAACCAAAAACATACAATATCTAATATTATATTAATCAAAAGAATAACCAGCACACTTAAACAAAAACTGCTTTTAAAGTTGTTAATAAAATTATTTAAATTATTTTTATCATTATCTATTTTTATTTGCTTATTCTTTCTTTTTTTTTTTTTTTTTTTTTGAGATGGAGTCTCGCTGTGTCGCCCAGGCTGGAGTACAGTGGCCGGATCTCAGCTCACCGCAATCCCCACCTCCCGGGTTTACGCCATTCTCCTGCCTTAGCCTCCCGAGTAGCTGGGACTACAGGCGCCCGCCACCTCACCCGGCTAGTTTTTTGTATTTTTTAGTAGAGACGGGGTTTCACCGTGTTAGCCAGGATGGTCTCGATCTCCTGACCTCGTGATCCGCCCGTCTCGGCCTCCCAAAGTGCTGGGATTACAGGCTTGAGCCACCGCGCCCGGCCTGCTTATTCTTTCTTTCCAGAATATCTTCCTAAGGCTTTTAGTAGTTTTCCCATTATTATGCCTTTTTAGAGTTTCAACAATCTTATTATATTCTATACAAAAATATGTGAAATTTTGAGCCACCCAAGGTTATAGAATCTGGGGCAATATAGGAAAGGGTACTTATTGGGAAATATTACCTATTAACCTAGCTGCAAAAAATTTCTAAACAAAACATAAGAAAACCATACCTAGGGATATCAATAAAAAAGAATATAATGAAGATTGGTTAGTCTCAGAAGAGCAAGGATGATTTAATACTGTAAAATCTATTTTTACAGACCATAACACTGGTGTATTGATGTACTTAAAGCAAAATAGTAGGGAATATTTTGATATATGTCAAAGAATAATTTCATTAAATTCAGTTTCCATTCATGATTCTAAAAACAAATAAAAAAATTTTTGCAAGCTAAGAATAGTTCTCCTTATTTTAATTAAATGTATCTAGGAAAAACTAAAACAAACATGATAATTAATGATAAATCTTTGGAAGCTTTATCTTAAAAGCCAGAAACAATACAAGGGTATCCGTATCATTACTACTATTCAAAATGTAATAGGCAGTTGCAGTCAAGAATAATATTAAAAAGAAAAAGAATATAAATACATGAAGAGACACCATATTTATTTTTTAAATATTTACATAAAAATCTCAGAAGAATCTGTACATACAAAAAATAGATTATGTCCAAATAAAAAGAGATTTCTGAATAAACAATTAATACAGAAAAGTTAGTGATACGGGTTTTAGTGCCAGTAAAGATGGCTTTTGGCTCCTGTCTCTAAAAGCAACTTTGAAGGACTAAAGAAGGAAACTTGAAATCCAGGATACTATAGACCGAAAGAAAAAAAAAAAAAAAAAAAAAAAAACTTGAGCTAAGCCCCTGGAAAATGAAAAGCTATTTTAAAAATGTTAGAGAAAGAGGTTAGTCAGTGCAGCTCTGCAAGAATAAATTAGTAAATAGGAGTTCGAGTTATTCTTTATAACTACTGATATGTATGCAACAACAAACAATAAAAATTTAGCAAAGCTATACAAGCAATATAATTACTATGCTTGACCAAATGGACATATAGAGAATTCTATATTTATTTATTACAGAATATACATTTTTCCCAAACACACAAGAACAATTTATCTCTCTCTTGATTTTTTCTATGTCCCCCCTATTCACAATATAGACCTGGCACAGGACCTGGGCTGAGGTGTATATGTGGTGTGTTTACTCTATCTCTTTTTTCTGTACAGTCAATGCAAGCACACAGTTAGTGGTAAGCACCAGGAGGCCAACAATTTCTAAAACTTGATCACATACTAGCTTAGAAAGTATGTCTTAACAAATTGCTAAATGTTGGTAATCTACATGAGTAGATTATATTCCCTGACATCAAAACACAATTAAGTTAGAAAATTATAACAAAAGGATAAATCAACCCTACATATATTGGGAAAGAAAAAAAAAACAATTCTAGGTTACCTATGGCTCAAAAAAAGAAATAACAATGAAATTTGAAAAATATTTAGAATTAAATGAGAGTAAAATACTGCATATAAAACCTTATGACGTGCAAGAAAATGGCACTTCAGAGGAAATGTTACATAAACATTCATCTAACATCAAGGAAAACCTAAAAATTAACTAGCTAACATTAGAAATGAGAAAAATAACAACAAAATAGACCCCAAAAAAAAGTAGAAGTAAAGAGAAATTTTAAGAGCAGATATCGGTGATATACAGAACAAAATCTGACAACAGTCAACAAAGCCAATATGATAAAAATAATTAGTTTTCAGAAAAATTCAAATTAAAAGCGTAATGAACTTCTATTTCACACTAACTAGAATGGCTAACATTAAAAAAAAAAACTGACAATACCAAATTTTGAGGAATATAGAACAAAACTCTAATACGTTGCTGATGGAAGTGAAAATAAGCTATAACAATGTAGGAAATCTATTTGTCTGTGCCTTTGTAAGTTAACTGCATACCTACACCCTGACCTAGAAATTTCATTCCCAAAGCAATGAAAACACTGTCATAAAAAGACTTGTACAAGAATGCCTATAGCACTGTTTTTCGCAATAGTCCCAAACTACAAACAACTCAACCATCTGTCAGTGGGAAAATGGATGAACAATTTGTGGTATGTTTATATAATAGGATTATTCTCAGTAACAACAAAGAACGAATTACTGCTACATGCAACGACATGCATAAATATCAAAAATATTACACTGAGTGAAAAAAGCCAAACACAAAAGTGTGCATACTATATTATTTCATCTATGCGAAATTCAGGCACAGACAAAACTACTGCATGGTGATGGTCTATGGGAGGTGTAAGGATTGAATGGAAGGTGGCATGATGGATATAGTATATATTAGTGGTGGTAACATGGGTGTACGTATGTATCAAAACTCAATGAAACAGATTAAATTTGTAAAGATGACCACAGTAATATCTCCCATACTGTATGTTGTTGTGCAATGTGACCTTTCCACTCCCCCAAACAAGAGATACAGTCTAATCCCAATCCTTGTGAATCTGGGCTTAATTTAGTGACTTAGTTGACTAACAGAATGTGGCAGAAGTGACACTCTAGGACTTTAGAGGCCAAACTACTAAAAAGGCCCTACAATTTGCTCCTGGATCTCTTGGGACATGCAGAATCCAGCCACCATGCTATGAGAAGACAATGCCACATGGAGAGCCATGTTTAGAGGATCAGGTTTATAGTTCTAACCAAGTGCCCAAGTAACAGCAAGCAGAAACTGCCTGGCATGTGAGAGAGCCATTTTGGTTGTCCAACCCAATCAACCCTTCAGATGACTACAGACTCAGTTGACATCAAACCACATCCTGTGGTTTAAGGAGACACCCCAAATGACAATTATCCAGACAAGACAGTCAACTCCAAAACTGTGAGAGTTGATTAAAACAAATGTTTTAAGCCACTAAGTTATAGATAACCAGGACTCTGACTGAATTGTGTGGACATTTGTACATTTCACTACACGCAAATTTGCCTTCAGTACAAATAAGATTATAGGAGAAAATACTGTATTGGAATTAGTGACATATAACAGAAATAAAAAGGGCTCAAACAGTATAGAAGCATATTTCTCTCTGATGTACAAAAAGAAAAAAGAAAAGAATCTAAAAGTTCAAAAACAATGTAGGGTGTATTTGGCAGCTTCACAATCATGAGATCAGCCTCTGTCTAAATCTTCCTTTCATGGTCCTTGTTAGGCCTCCCCTGAGTTCAAGTTGTTCACAGGCTCATGTAGCATCAAATCACTGGGGAGCCACTGTTGGTCACTATGTATTATTGATCCTCATCTTCAAAGAAGCACTGTTAATCAAGTCTGCTTTTCATCCCTTTGTCATTCTCTCACGTTCAGGATGCCATTATCTCTAGACTCGATTAATACAATAACTGCTTATCTATCATTCTCCTTCTGACCTTTCTTCCTCCTGAGAAAAGAGAAGTAACTCAGAGCAGTCTGACTAGTGCTGCCTCACCCATTATCTTCATGTTCTTGGAATCTGTGGCACAAAAACCAGGTATACCTAATCAACAGTTTGTTATTTTAATGTAAGTTATTGGTAAACAACTTAGGAACTGCCTCTTCTTTCCTTTAAAAACCCACATGTAACTGCTGCTACTTGGAGCATATACTCACGGCAACTTGAATTGTCTCTTGGGCTGCAGTCCTCAAATCTGACCCAAATAAACTCTCTATATTAATTTTCTCTCCATTTTTTCCTTTAGGTTGATATTCTAGTCTCATCTTTTACATGATTCAGAAACATAAATCTCCTAATCATTTCACTCTTCTACCAGCCTTTCAGACCCTTTAATTTCAGACGCTGTAATACAACCTTATTGCCAATAAAATAAAATCCAAACTCATAGGGACTATCCAGATTCCTGGAGCATAAGGTTTGAATATATGCTTTATATTTATATCTATTGTTTTGGGGAAAAAAATGTAGTTTTGGTTTCTATTATAAAGTTAAATTTTCTCCTTCTCTCTCTCTCTCTCTCTCTCTGTCTTTCCCTCTCTCTATATATATATATGTGTGTGTATACACACACACACATATTCACAT